CTGTGTATAAAGTTTATTCTTGTAATAAAAAGTGATAATCTATAGTTACTGGAGAAATTAAAAATAATAATATGTATACATGGTAAAGAATTCATACTAAATTAAAAAAAAAACATAATGATTTGACTWTACCTTATATTTTATAAACTGATATTTATTTAATTTAAAGATGTTATTCAGATAATTTTATACACATAAAATAGCTTTATGATATTCACTTTAATATTTGAATTAAAAATTATATATCTAAATAATGGTTTAGGTTTATGTGCCAACACGAATGAGTCATGAAGCTTTTGTTGGTACTACAAATAATAATACTTAATATATTATATATTAGTATATCTTAATTTGTGGTTGTTAATTATTTAGATGTTCATTAAATTTCATGCAAATAAATGTGATTGGTATTTTTAAAATAAAATACAAAGATGTGTATTATGGGCATAAGTTACATTTATTGAACCAGATATTTAACTAAAAATCTAAACAATATTGTAAAAATAATTAATAATACTTAAACATAACATACATTTTAATACACAAATCGACAATTGTAAAAACTGGAACAAATAATAAAAACCAGTTTTTTTTTTCAAAAGTGGTACATAAAAAACTAAAAATGGTATCCTTAAAACTAATCAATAATACATATCTAGATCGACCAAAAACGTTTGGTATATATAACATTATGACCAATTATTTTTTATGTTCAATAATAGGTTAATATTAAAATGAATACATTTTTATAAATAGGAAGTTTGAACAAAAGATTCGAACTACTACATATTTAAATTGTATTATTTTAAATTAAGTATAATTAAAAATAAATGAATACCAATAATTGTTAAAAATACAGTCTTAAAAAAAAATTTTWAAAATAAAAGTAATGAAGTTTGGAATGTTATAATTTTCAAATGTACACATAATTCTAAGAATCATTTGTATTACTACTTTCTGATATTTGTGCACTATTGATTTTAATATCAGGAGACGTCAGCAAATCTTTTTTGACCTGTAAACGTTGTTTGAATCCTGCATAAACTCTCCGTTGCTGTATTGGAGACTGTCCATTGTGTGTTATGTTACTTCGGATTTCTAAAGATTTTTGTGGTGGTATTTTTACCATTTTCTTGGAGGTTTGTAGAATATTATAAGGGCGGTATCGCACATTTATAGATTGATTTTTTGGTGATTTATTTTGAACTAAGCCTAAACCTAATTAATAAAATTAATACATTTTAATAATAATGAAATGTATTTATTATACAATAATTGAATGAATACCTGATAGTAATTGTGGTTTTGGAATATTTTGTTTCAATTGTTGTGGTTTTGTAGCTTTTGGACTGTTAGAGATTTTCACTTCATCACAAAGATCATTGTCATCTTCRATTATTTCAATATCAACATCATCATTTTTTTCGACTTTAATTTTATCAGCTAAAATTGTAATCATTAAAAAATTAAAAGATTTCACATAAAAATGTTGTTTTAGATTTTTTGTTTTTATACAATAACAAATTTAGTACTAGTGCTATATTAATATTCACATTATGTAGAGTTATGAGATGAAGATGTGTGATTCTGTATTATCTTTAGACTGGACACCAAATAGATTAAGAACATGTATACCGTTTGCAACATATCGTATTCAGCACAAAAATATAATTTAAAACTTATTTGTACTAATGATCAAAATTTAATATTCTCAGAATTGTTTTATTTCATTYGTGTTGATAACTTTAAGAGTACCAGAAAATACCAGAAAAAAATTCTAAAAGCTATACAGTTTTTTAAATTATCAATAATTTATTTGAAAACATTTTAATATTTCAAAGATATTAGAGTTATTTAAAATAAGTATTGAACAATAAATTGAACATAACTTGAGTACTGTGTACCTATATATTTAAAATAAGTTAAATTACAAATTTATCCAAAAGGCTAATTATGGACCATTTAAAAAAAAAAGTACATATTAAAAATAGTTGCAATTAAAATTACTGATCAAGTTATGGTATAGTGCATAAAACAACAAGGTACATGCCTAATGGCATCATTCAGCATACTATGTAAAAACTTTTAAATGATACAAATCAGCATTGTACGCAGTAAATATGTTAAAAAACAAAAAGTGCAAAATACAATGTATATTATATTTTAAATCTATGAAGCTTGAAATAAGATTAGAGCTAATCACCAAACTTTAATCTCTATTGATACAATTTTTCAATTAAATTTCCTTATCAAAAGGTTTGATCATGTGACATTCATAACGAAATGTCTTAAACATAATTCAAAAATTGTAATTTGTGCTCTATTTATAATTGTCATGATTATTAAATGAAATATATATTTAATAATACTTGTTGGGTTAATAGGCAGAGTTTGTTGTCGCGAAGTGGTTGGAGAAATATAGTTTTCAATATTCTTATGTAAGTTGTCATCTATTTCTTCAAAATCATCATCAGCACCACTGTCTATTTTTAACTCGTCATCACCTAAGAATTAATTATTAATACTTGTATTTAAAATACACATTAACTAATCATACTCATATCAGAGTCGCTGGAAGTAACACGCTTAGCATTTTCAACAGAGTTATTCTCTCGTATTTTTCTTAAAGCTTCTGGAACTTTGTGAGGGGGAATGCCAGGAATATTAGGCATGTCAGGAATAAGCTCACATTCAAGGCCATTACTATCATCATCATCATCATCATCGTCATCTTCATCCTAAAACAAATTGAATAACACTTAGATAATTAAAATGTTATAGTCAGTATTTATGATTCATGAAAAATTGAACGTATGTAATTGTATATAAATTATAATACATTTATTACAAGTTATAAATGCTCACATCCATTATCCTCCCTCCATGTGTCATAAGTAATCTGAATTCTTCATCAGAAATATCATTATGTTTAAGTTTAATTCTAGGAGTGGACATAACTTTAAATTGTTTTGGTTGAGTATTTGTATTGGCCCCATCACTAACAGATGAATCAACAGATTTTGAACTTCTAGGACCTTCTCCTCCTCTTCTGTTTAGTTGCTAAAATTTTAAAATGCAATTAATAATTATTGAATAAGTTCAAATAGTAAAATTAATTAAGATTTTACAGCAATAATATTAGTGTTTGTCAGTGATTCGTGTGGTTCACTATATTCAGTGTATTTAAGTAATACTTGGTCCATGTCTGTACTAGCATATTGGTACAACTTGTTGGACTTGTTGAAGATAATGATTGCTACTTCACAGTCACATAATACACTTAACTCGTAAGCTTTCTTCATTACACCAAATTTGCGTTTATTAAAAGTCACCTATAAAATTTAATGATTAAAATTGAGTAATTGTGGAAGATTAATACTACATACATGACGGTTCCGTTCGTCCGTGATTTTGGATATACTAATTTTCTTTCGTCCCATGATGTACAATTAATAATGACAATTGATTATTTGATTATTTGATTATTAATAATGGAGCTATCTTGAATCTTCTAATTACAATTTACCTTAAATACAAAAATATAAAATATCAAGCAATAATAAATAAAAACGAAAAGTTTTGTGATAACAAAAATATGTAACACGTTTATAAAGCATGAAAATATCAWAAAAAAAATAGTGATGGAGTTCTAACGTCCTGAAATTAATYTTATAGAACTCTACAGTTTGGTAGTTGGTACCAACCACCAACAATATTCAAGAACATCAGCTGAATACCAAGCATCAGCCATCAAGTAATATTATACTTGAATATTGAGAAATGTTTATGTCTAACATTTAAAAAATAAATATTTATAATAATCTTAGGAAAGTACCTGTACGAAAGTATTAAAATAGCTTCCTGAAATGTTTAAAATTAGAACTAGGTTTTGTAAAAATTAAAAATACAATCCGTAATACATAGTGCATGTTTTATTTTGATATTAAAGTATGTAAGGTTATCTTTCGTTCGGATTTTCAGACATTCTATAGAAAACTATTTCTAATAATTATTTCCATTTTATCCTCCAGTCCACCACTCATACAATATCCAAAGAGCTTATAAGTCTTAACGCAAAACTGGTGTTAACTGCGATAGCGAATTGATGATATACTGTGCAATTCTTACCATACTGTCACCAGAATTATAGATGGCGGCACTATATATATTAATATTCTATCTTGTCTAAATTTAATGCCCTGAGAAAGTGAGAACAATCAACGGTGAACCATGATGACGAATGTTGATCACGATAACGTATAACACGTATCACCATATAGAAATAATTGGTCTACAGAGTGAATAAAAATATGCACACAGTTTATCGTCAAAAATCAGTAATTCAGAGTTCAGATTAGGAAGAATTCAAGAATCACAACTAGCGCTCTCAATGTATGTAATTACAGTTTTTGTACGTATGTTTCAAAATAAATACACAGTTGTACTTTTCATGAAAATATTATACGTTGCTTATCAACAACTATTTTCGGGGACACGTAAACTCTCCCATGAGGCTATGACCGTGGCGTTCGTGTTGGGTTTTTTTTTATAGATAGCCTCACCGATAAAACACCACTGGGGGCGCTACGATCTCGGCACAGTTACGAGCCTACAAATGCCATAGATCCGGTGGCAAGTATTGCTGTTGCGGAGCTACCACTGTAAATGTTGTTTTTATGTCTACGTCTGCGATAAGATAACATTCAAATAATTACCACCTAAGTTTAAATATTATAATCATAATAAAATAATAAAACAATTAGGTATAATATAAAAAATTGAGTATTTTAATTTTTATAACTTGAATCTAAATTCTTAAGTGTATAAGTCAATAATATAATTAATTATTACAAAAAAAATTTTTTGCCGTACATAATAATTAAAAAATAAATTCTAAAAATATTGGAAAATCTAGTGTTCTTYATTTGCCTTGTTTTTGGCACCTGTAATAAAAWAAAAAAAAAACATATCTAATAAATGTATTGGAAATTGGAATGAAAATTTAATGTAGATGACATACGTCGAAAATTCTCTTTTGAGGTTTCATTTTACCCCTGTCCAATTTATTTTTTTGCTTCAATGGTACAGTTTCAATTTGTGAAGCAGTGATCGAAAAATGGATGGGTGCAACCAATTTTTTATTTATTTT